AGATTCTTTGTGGGTTTCAGATCTTTGAGATTGTTGATCTTGGCTATCCGTTCCAATTTTCTTTAATCGCTTTTTCCTTCTAAGAGACCTTCTTTTGTGGATAGGCTATAATTCATATTTATTCTTTTTTTTGAGTGTAGTATTCAACCGTGAAGAAGAGGCGTTGTAATGGTAAGAATAGATTTACATAGTAGACTATGAGGTGTGTAGAGGGTACGGAGGGAAGACATTTACCTCCGTAATGAATCGAGAGTTAGTAAAGCGGATCTTGATTATGCAGGGGTTTTTGATCATCGTTCTTTACCTTGTTAATCAACTGTTACATGAATTATGGTCTCCGACTCTGGATATTGGCGTGGATCACCGATTATTCCGATTTGGAATTTCGTTTTCCTCGCCCTTCGCTCACATTTTTTTTTCTCCAACAGTATTCTGTTTGTGTCAGCAGAGATCTTTAGGTAAAACCTTTAAAAATTGATGAAGCTACTGCGGTGGGTTCCTCGTCCTTCAATGCCCGTGTTTTAGTTGAGCTTGATATCACTAAACCCTATCCTAAACCCAAGTTTGGCTTGGTTCTGATTCTTTGGCTATGTTACAGGATGTTCATTTTAGAATAATTTCCTAATTTTTTGTTACTGTGTGCCAATGTATCGGGCATGCTAGTGTTCGTGCCCGGCCGGTTATTGTGTCCTACTCCTTATGGGGGGGGGACTAGGTTCCTCTGATACTCGGGTTTTAACTAAGTCGGTGGGGTGGAATTAAATGAATTAATGCCTGGTGGTATTATGTCATGAAACCTTTGGATATGATCTTAACCGTCTCCTCTTTGCCCGCTAAGGTTGGAAGAGGGGTGGATGCTTACTCGTGAGGCGGTGCTGAGGGTTCAATGTGTTAATGTATTTTGATGATACTGTAATCCTACTGAGATATTCCCTACAACGTATGAAACAGCCTATTTAATTTGGTTGAGTCCCCTCCGATTATTTTAGTTCAAAGCGTTTTAAATGAACCTCGAATCTTTTTTTGGTTGGAGATGGGAGTGAATTGGGTGTTGGGGGAATTTTAGGCTGGGCTGTGCGGGTGTTTTATCTCCTAACAGGGCTTCTCTCCTTTGTTCCTAATGATGTTACCTTCTGGCCATGCGTAGCTATCACTATTGAGAAGGTTAATAAACCGTTAGCGGATGGTGCTGTTGATGCATTTCGAAGCTCCTTTTTGGAAACGGATATGGGTGAGGCGGTGCCTCATTTGCTTAACGTCAGTGAGAATGTGGCTATCGATGTGAACATATTGTTGAGGTCCCTACGTGAAGTTTTGATTAATTCGCCAATCTATGGCTAACTTTTTTTTGGGTGAGTTCTAGTTTGGAGAATTAGAACCAAATCCAACTGAGTGGCTGGTGATCGGAGTGGTGCCTTTTTCGGACTCTTTTCTGTAATTTTCTGATGTTCAAGTGGACTCGACCGATAACGATAACCATTTCTTGTGGTGTTTGTAACAAACCTATTGTTAAATGCTCAAACACGGGGGAATTTTTGGGGAGAGGCCGTTGGCAACTTGATTCTTACCATGTTATCATCCTTTCCATCGCTCATGCGGGAATTTATTTGTTTTATTGGTCCGGTCTGCTTCGTGGATTAGATGGGGCTATAAGCAATGATGTGGTCGCGGGCTTCGCGACCCTGTCGTTTTCTTGTGGAAACGCTTTCATTGGATCGGTCCGTGGCGAGGCACTTGGGTTCGCTGGAGCCTCGGCGCTCCGAGCTTTTTTGCGCCCTATGAGATTCTTTTTTGTTGTTTTTTTTTTTCCTTTGCTTCCCTATTATCAAGCTGTTGTTATCCGTTTTGAATTTTGATTGATTAATGAAATTTTTGGGTTTTTGCAAAAAAAAAATAAATTAGTAATTCTGATTCTTTATAATATATATAAGATAAATATGTTTAGATATTTTTTATAAAAATCTTTCATGATAAATTTTAACAATTTTTAAAAATTTTAAGAGTAAAATATTGTCTAAGTTGAAATAATTGTTTGATTTTTAATAAATGAATAAATAAAAATTGAAGATCAGTAAAGATAATGATACTTTAATCACTTATATTGAGAAAAAATATTTGAATTGTATTAGTAATGAATAAAATATCAAGAAAAAGCAATTAATAAAATTATGAAAATTTTAATCCATCTTATAATTTTAATATTTTTAAATAATAAATTTAAACAAAAAGATTTTTAAATATCTTTCACCACCTTCAACAAACTTGAATAATAAATACAGTATTTTAAACTAACTAAAAACATATTGGTAATTAATTAGTAGTTAGAAAATTTAATGTATACTTTTTCTGCATGAATCAACATGAAGACCCGAGCTCACAGAGTGGTTATAAGGAGCTTTATCTTTGATGTAAAATTTAGGATTAAAGAAGTGTTTATTTTAATCTTAATTGATAATAATTTTTAATAATTAAAGAATCGACATATAGTTAAAATCTCGAATCTCATAATATAGCAATTTTCATAAAATAAAAAATAAAAAACTTTCTCCTAAATTAAACAAGCTATGCTACTGTTTGCTAAATTCTCTTTTACGATTCATTGACTCAACTCTAGTAAGTATAAGGATGATGAATGAATGCGTTCATGATTGACGGAGGAAGAAGAATTATGGGATGATCAATAACATGAAGAGACTCAGAATGGATGAAACATAAGTCAAGGATTTCAGTTTTGGGTTTATCTGAATTATAATCGTTACATTAATTGAGTTAAATCATTAATCAAATCCTAAAAGGATGATATATAAAATCTAAAAATGATCTTAAGTTTGCTAAAAATTAATCTAATAAATATTTCTACATTGTTCTATATTATGTTCAACTTCTTAAAATTTATTTAATTTTTGTTTTAATTATCTTAATTTATTTCTATTTAATATTTTCATAAATTATAATATTGTGTAATTATGTGTTAATTTTTTCTATCTTTGGCATTGATTTACAAAAATATTTATTAAAATTTATGTGAGCTTTAAGTTTCACATAATTATATTAAATTTATATTTAAATTCGCATTTCTTATAATAACTA